GGGGGCAAGTTCAGCCTCTGTGTCCACAAACTTAAAAGTCACTGGGTACCCTGCTCAGTCTTGAAACTGGCTTTCAAAGCCTCCCGGATGCACAGCGCGTCCCGCTGGGATCTTCTAATCGCCCGGCTGTCTGGCTGGGTGTAATCAGCAGCCAGGCTATTTGCCTCAACCTCCCACCCCGCCATAAAGGTCTCCCCCTTGCTCTCTCAGAGATTGTGGAGCACGCAGCAAGCTGCTATAACGATGGGAATATTGGTTTCGCTGAGATCACAGCGAGTCAGAAAGCTTCTCCATCTCCCCTTGAGACGGCCAAAAGCACACTCCACCACCATTCTGCACTTGCTCAGCCGGTAGTTGAAGAGTTCTTTTTCACTGTCCAGGGCGCCAGTATAGGGCTTCATGAGCCAGGGCATTAGCGGGTAGGATGGGTCCCCGAGGATCACTGTAGGCATCTCCACGATGGTCGCAGCGGGACCCATGCTCGCGGTGCTGTGGCGTCCGCGCTGTCACTGACCAGAAAAGTGCGCGAACTGATTTCCCGCCGGCGCTTTCAAGGAGGGAGGGAGGGCGGGAGTGACGATTGGATGACGACAGTTACCCAAAAGCACCCTCGAGACATTTTTTTCCCCCAGAAGGCATTGCGGGCTCGACCCAGAATTCCAATGGGCAGCGGGGACTGCGGGAACTGTGGGATAGCTGCCCAAAGTGCACTGCTTCCAATGTCGACGCTTTCCCTGGTAGTGTGGACTGACAAAGTCGAATGACTGTCCTTAGTGTGGACACACACGTTCGACTTTCTAATATCGATTGCACATATTCGATTTAACTAAAATCGAACTACTCTCATAGTGTAGACATACCCTAAGAGACTAAGGCATAGAAATTAAAGCCTCTAGCCTGCAAGTTGTGCCACATGGGTAGACCCCAGTGCCAATTTGTTGTGGCTCTGTGTAGTTATACCTATGTGGAACATTTTGAAGAATCTGAGCCTCAGATCATGGAGGGTGTATGAAATGGGAATAGAATTCCTCGGTTCCTGGCTCCCAGTTCATGAAGAAGTAGGGTCTTAGCACAGTTCATGTTAACTATTCTTTTCTTCCAACATGATTCCTTCCATAATTCCCTTCATTGGAATAGACATTATAAATCTATCTATTAAAGGCTATGGTTAGCTTGCACTTTGTTGAGGCAACAGCAGACAAACTACTGCCCATCTTGCACTCCTATGACAATGACCTGCATCATATAGGTCAGTGGCTCTCAACCTTGCCAGACTACAGTATCCCTTTCAAGAGTCTGATTTGTCTTGTGTACCCCCAAGTTTCATCTCATTTAAAAACTATTTGCTTACAAAATCAGACATAAAAATACAAAAGTGTCACAGCACACTATTACTGAAAAATTGCTTATTTTCTCATTTTTACTGTATAATTATAAAATAAATCAATTGAAGTATAAATATTGTACTTACATTTCAGTGTATATTATATAGAGCAGTATAGATAAGTCATTGTCTATATGAAATCTTGTTTTGCATTAATATATTTGTTATTTTTCTAAAGCAAGGTTAATTCTCCTTGGTTGGTATAATTTGGTACTTGGTTTTACCAACTAGAAGGATACATTATATTTATATATATTTATTTAAACAATTATATAGCTTACCATACATTTATCCTGATTCTTAATTTTACATTTTTGTTAGCAAATCCTGAATGACATTTCTTATTTATGAGATGATTAATTTTTTGTCAAGTTGCATTTGGATGGAAATAGGAATTCAATTAAAATTCATAAAAACTGTATTTTACAATTTCTTTATTACTTAAAACTAAATTAAATTGTGCTGAATACATAAGAAAAATATCAAAACATGTTTTGCATTTATAATTAATGGATGTATTAGACCAGTGGTTCTCAAACTTTTGTATGGGTGACCCCTTTCACACAGCAAGCCTATGAGTCCGACCCCCACCCTTATAAAGTAAAAACACATTTTTTAATATTTAACACTATTATAAATGCTGGAGGCAAAGCAGGGTTTGGGGAGGAGGCTGACAGCTCGCAACCCCCCCCACGTAATAACCTCATGACCACCAGTTTGAGAACTGCTGTATTAAACAATGGAAGTATTATCTGTTGTTAGTGAATAGAACTGACTTTAGAACTAGTAAATCTCAACCTCTCATGTTTTATTCTTAGATTGAAAGAGGAAAACAAGCTTTCCTGCTTTTTCAACTCCTAATTGGTTTCTTAACTTCCACTGAGTTAGTCATGGACGTCAGCTAGTTGAAAAAACTTAAAATGAAGAAAATAGTCCCTCAGCACCTGTAGAACAGGCTCTTGCTTTTAGAAGCTAGCTAAGCCCTTCAACAGACTGGCATCAGGTGCTTCACCAGGGGCCTCCACGAGTTCAGTAGTTCCACTTTCTTTAAAACTAAAACCTGGAGCTCCAAACATGGGCGGCTTAATATTTTTTGTATATAATGTTAAGGATTTTCATGGATTACAGGAAGCTGAGCCCTGAACTCCGGTTGCAATAATTTCACATTTAATTTTAAATAAGGTTTATTTTTAAAAAGAAATGTATTCGGTTTAAATAAAATCTGCTTTAAAGCGAAAAATTGTCCGCCTCGTCCTGCCTACCTCATACACCCCTCACGCTCCTGACTTTGCCAACTCCCAGCCTCTGTTATCCTGAGAGCGCCCTCTGCCGCCCCAGTCCCCCCGCCGGCAGCCGGCCTCGCACCTCGAGCCCCCATGGCTGCCCCAGCCTCGGGTGCGGGGGAGGGCCCGCGAAAGTCTGCGCATGCGTGTTATAACTCCGCGGGTGGAGGATGGGCACGCTCCCGTCCCCACGCTGAGGATTTGTGCGCTGCCCACCGCCCCCTTGTGAGGCGTTGAAGCAAGAAGGACACTACAGCTTCCGGCATGCAACGCGCAGCGGCCCTAGGCGGCAGGCGGCGGCGGACTGGCAGCGGTGCATGCTGGGAGCTGTAGTTCCTGGTTCTGTATTGTCTCTCCTCTCTCTGGTCGGGAACCCGACCGCCACCCCCGCCGGGTGAGTGACTGACAGCTCCCTGCAGCCAGTGGCCGAGGTGCTGGGTGGTGGAGACAGGCGCCCGTCGCCCCGGTGACCGGTGGCGAGTTGGTGACTCGGTGAGGAGCTGGAGTCCTGGGGGACGGCGGTGAGTGGGTCTGGGAGCGGTGCTCCCCCCAGACCAAACCGACTGTGCGCTACCGGCCCGGGACCCTACTCGGGACGGGGGGTGGAAGGAGTAAAGTGGGGGAGGGGAGAGAGCTGAGGGGAATCGGGGGGTGGGGGGTAGCGTGCAGAAGTTAGACACCCCCCGCGCTGGGCGGTGTTGGGTTTGTGTGACGGGGAGTGGTTCCGTTACAAGCTGGGCTTTGCGGGGGGATGGGGCTTGGTTTGTTGGACTCCGATTTCACTGCTTGCTTTTCAAACGGTCCCAACTGACCCGGGTGCTGCTTTTCCCTCCCAATCCCAGCGGCTCCACCCTCCAGGGAGGCTGAGGCTGCTTCGATACGGTGGTTAACGTGTAACACTGTTTCCAGAGTAGCGTGCAACTGTTGCTTGGCTGGCGGAGGGGGTACAGTAAACTGCTCCTGGCCCTCGAGGAGCACGTCCCCAACTATCCAGCAGCTACCTGACCCCACTCGCTGTTGTATCTGCCTGCCCTGTTAATGAATTTACTTCAGTACCCCTGTGAGGTGGGGAAACGCTATTATCTCCACTTTGCAGAGACACAGAGAGGTCACTGCTGTGATTGATGCTCCTTTCTTTAGGAAAGAAATCTCTGCACATTACTGATAATAATACTTGGCAATTGTGTAGCACTATTTGTGTTCAAAGTGTTTTACATCTACTAATCCTCCCTATACCTCTGGGAAGTGAATATGTATGATTCCATTTTTACAGATGGGGAAAATGAGGGAGAGAGGTTAGGTGACTTGCCCAAGGGCACACAAGGAGTTGGTAGCAGTGGCAGGATACCAGTCCATCTGAAGATATAACTGGCTCTTTTCTTCCTCTTCCTAGTTTGCCTGCACTCTTTTCCGATGTGAGTGCTGGAAGTGAGTTGCTCTGTGATCTTTTACCTAGGGCACCGGTTTCAAATTGTGGGTTGGACCCCAAAGTGGGTCGTGTCCCCATTTTAATGGGGTCACCAGGACTCGCATTAGAGTTGCTGGAGCCAGGGGCCAAAGCCCCACTTCCTTGGGTTGCAGGGCTTAGAACTCAGTTTCAGCCCTGAGTGGCGGGGCTCAGAACAGATTACGGGCCTCCCGCCTGGGGCTGAAACCCTTGAGCTTCGACTTTGGGCCTTCCCCCCCAAACCCTGCCCAGGGTGGCAGGGCTTAGGCTTTGGTCCCCCCTCCTGGGAACATGTAGTAATCTTTGTTGTTAGTAGGAGGTCTCAGTGCAATGAAGTTTGAGAACTCCTGACCTAGGGTCTCAGGTAATTGAGCTCTTTTAAAACTCATCCTTCTCATCACTGCTTCATTCTTAGTTTTGGTTTTCCAGATAATTTTTAACTTTCATCTATAACACCAAAGCTTGAATGCTTTGAGTCTTCTCTCAGTGTCCTTCTTAAGTGTCCAGCTCTCAAATCCAAACAGGAGAATTGACTGTAGGTAGCAGTTTAGCAATTTAGTGAGGATATATGGAGTTTTAATTTTGATAACACAGAAGTCTTTGGAAGTCATTGAATACTTTTGCAAACTGTATCCTTCTTTTGATTTCTTCATCACATCTTCCATTAGACTCCCTACACTTATTTCACCTATCAACCATCAAGTAATAGGTGTTGCCTGTCTCGTGCATCTCTGTC